TCCAAAATGAGGAGATAATCTGCATGTAATATGATGATTTGGTATATGGACAAGCTGACTCTGAATTAAAACAGTGACATCCAAGTAAGGAAAGTGGCCTGGAAGTTAACAATAACTACAAGACCATACTGGTGAGAGATTTCATAGCTGAAGATAAAAAGAACAGTGGACTTGTATTCTTGAATCCATTTTAAAAAGTGGAGGGAGAGGAGAGGATGTAGATTTGAAAAGAAAGAAGTCAAAGGCTGAGATTTACATTGACAGGAAAGAGGAGGCGGCAGTGGTGCAGGAATCTAGGAACAATTGGAAAATATAAATTAGAAGAAGGAAAAAAACAAAGAGAGGGAGAATGGGATGTCTCTGAATCTGGGGAAGAACCTTGAGTATAAAAACACAAATAATGGGCTTTGTATTTTTCCAAAGAGCTCGAAATGTTTGAGAACAAATACAGTCAACAGGATTTTAGGTAGTAGGTATGTTAGGTATAGGAGCTTGAGCCACGAGTGGTGGGGAACAGAGCTAGCTATAAAGGAGATGGTTTTGGAGAATAAAGACACTTTTCCCCACAGACACTCGGAAAGAGAAAGAGAAGATAATTATGAGAAAAGGATAAGGAAAGTAAAAAAAAAAAATGTATAAAAACTGAAGTGTCACATTCTTTTTGATAGAATAGGTGGAGATGATATGCCAAGGAAAGGATAGGACAGCTGGGACTGGGGGCATGGAAAGAGAGAAAAGGTCTAAAATAGCTCCCACAGGGAGAGAGCCTGGGAGTGCAGAAAAGACAATTAAAAAGACTGCCAAATAGCAGCAGAGAGCAGATTGAAGTTTGAAAGCATCCAGTTCTAATGAGCCAAATCTGCAATGCTGTTTGCCTCTAGCAGTGCTCTCTCTCCTGAGAAAAGAAACTCAGGGAGCCAGAGTTAGAGGTAACAAAGGTTTAGGAATTTGCTGGGCCAATAAAGAAGCAAAGGTTATTAATGAAGAAGTGAAGCTTGTGCTCCTTGTTGGGAGTGAAAATCCAAAATCATTTGAAACAAGGAAGGCACCAATGCCAGAATCTAATCATTGAGGAGTATTTCCAAGGAAGTAGGAAAAGTAATTATTGTGAGTTCTGAGCTGAAAGCTAAAACTTTCAAGGAAATTAGAAAGCTTCTCATTCCCACCACCACTACCACCACTCCTGCTGAGACTAGAGGAGGAATGGGGAAGAAGCAAATCTAAAAAAAAACAGAAGATTCTTATCAGAGGACTGATGTAAAGTGAAATGAGCAACTCGTGCTCGCGCGCGCGTTTTGTGTGTGTGTGTGTGTGTGTTGGGGAAGGGGAGGATGGGTATTACCATAACACAAAAAAGTCGTAACTACCTAAAGTTGTATGCATTTCTAAGGCATTAGGGTCACTCATTTTTAAACTACAAGGCAACCTGCTAGAATGAAAAAAAAAAAGTGTATTTTGTTTATTATATACAATTTGAGATTTCTACCATATAAATACAATCCCAATGCTTTTTAGTCAAATCCCAGTGCTTCCCATTGGCTCAACACAGTCATCTGTAGTGCAGAGATGGCCTCTCCACCTCTCTGACTTCTCACTCCACTCTCCACATCATTCACTCTGCTCCAACCACCTCTGCCTATTCTTAGTTTCTGGAAAAATCTAACTGATTCCCAATGAAGGACCCTTGCCAGCCATGCTGTTCTCCCAGACAGGACCAGGAAGGCCTTCTTGACAGTCAGGTCTCTGCTTAGGTGTCACCTCAGAGAGAACTCTTTGTCAATCCAAAGTGCCGCAAAAGGCACTCTCTCCCATCACCTGGTTTTGTAGTGCTTTTTATTCCTGACACATTTTACCTGATAAAAGCTTGCTTATTTATTTTTCTTGTTGGCCATCTGCTTCCTCCACTTAGAATAAGACCTCCATGAGGAAAGGGATTCTGGCTGTCTTGGTCACCACCACATTTCCAGCATTTCAAAGACTACCAAGCACACAGTGTGCATTCAATTATTTATTGAATGAATGAATGAATGAATGAATGATAAAACTTAGTATTTTAATGTTAAACATGATGGGACATTACACTGTGTATATGTTTGTTCCTAAAACTGTGTTCCAGAAAACTGTGTTTATGTGAGATAAAAATGGTATTATTGCTATCTCAGAACATCCTAAAATACCATATCTGTCTTATTATAAGCAATATGTATTATGAGAAAGAAAACTTGATTGTAAACAGAAAGATAAAGGAGGAAACCTCCCTGAAGATGAATCCACATATATCTCAGTAAAGATATAAATGATCAGATGGACATAAAAATATTTCTATTATTTTTGCCAGGATCAGAGAGGTCTGGAAATATAGACAGATTTTACAGAATTTGAACAGTGTGGGATTTAATTAGTTAGGGCACATACAAAAACAAAATGTCAGATAAATTTTCCACAAAATAATCTTATAAATTATGAGTAATGTTTTTGCTGTTTGTCTTGCTATATTTTATCTAGAAACGGGTTCAATTATGAGGTCAGGAAAAGCAGATTTTAATCTTTTCTCCATAGAAGGCAATCTCAAAATAAGAAATTCAGACTCCAGTCAAGTTTTCACACTTTCTGTAGAAAGTATTCTCTGCCGGTTCATTGTTACCAAAACAAAACAAAATAAAGTGAAAAGAAAATAAAGAATAAAAAGAGGGGGTAGGAAATGTTAAAATCTGCAGTCTTAATGAATAATTTTATGTACAAAACTACTAATTACATTATATAGGACATTATTTATTAACTAAAATCCTCTGAAATCTGATGAAGATGTATCAGTTAAGTCCATACACAGGTATATTTTCAAAATCTCATAAGATGTCCATGTAGCAGCCAAAAATCAAAAGGTTAATGAATAAAGAAACCTTAGAAGAATCCAAATTGAGACATGTTCGACAAAATACCTGGCCTATGCTATTCAAGTACATCAAGGTCAACAACAAAAAGCAAGGTTGAAGAACTATTCCATCTTAAACCTGAGGAGACAAGTAAACAAGTAAAGAGCATAATCCTTAATCTGATGTTGAATGGGGCTGTTGCGATGGTGGAGGGTAGCTACTATGACAATTACTATTTCCCAATGAAATCTGAACATGGACTGTGAGCTAAATGGTAGTATTCTATCATAGTTAAGTTTCCTAATTTTTTTCTGAATTTCACTGTGATTTTGCAGGAAAACTTTCTCATTCTTTAGAAACACAAACAAACTAGGGATAAACAGGGAAAATTAATGGATGGATGGATGGATAGATGATAGATAGATCAATCAATCTATGGACTGGCCTAATGAAAAATTTCTAAGACTGTCAAGTGAAACAAAAACCTCACTCATGTCAGTGATCAGAATAACAGTAAGTAATTAGTAAACAGATATGTCAAAGATAGAACCATATGCTATAATAAATAAATCAATAAAAATTGCAATATCTGTTGTTTAAGCCCTAACAATATATCATTACTTCACTAAGTGAGACGAACAAAAATTAAAGATGAAATGTAAAGATTCATTGAACTAGAACCTTTTGCAACTGTTTTCATTATTTATCAATAGATGGTATATTAGAAATATACTATGACATCATTTCAATTTTGAGTTACAACAATAATTGGAGGATTTAAACCATAAAATAGTCCACAGAAATCAAACTGCAGATATACATTGCTGATTTAAATCTTTACTCATTGTCCTTAAAAATCTTAATTTTTAAACTAAAGCACTAATAATAATAAAAATGATAGTAATACAGCAAGCAGATTTGAGGTGGTTATTATACCATTCTTACTTTACAGAGAAGGAAAAGAAGCTTATACAGATTAACTATCTTCCACAAAATTGAAACAGTGGTATGTGATAGCTGTACAAAGATTAAAAGGCTTGCCTTCTCCTGCTCCTTGAACAATACTTTATACCATGGTGGGAGATTTTTTCATTACGTAACATCTCCCACCTTAGTATAAAGCTTGAACATGTCCATGTTACTGCCAGTGTTACTTTCAAAATTGCTATAGTTTTACATAACAATTAGCATTTTAATATTGAAGTGACACTGGTAGAAAAAATGAGAGCTAAAATATTTCTTGCTTTTTCATTACTTGTAGAAAGGGCAAAATTGAAGATACACATACATGCATGTATACACGCACTTATTTTGTGTGTGTGTGTGTGTGTGTGTGTGTACGCGCGCACACGCATGGATAGAAATGTACAGATATTATGTTGGTCTCGAGTATCTAGCCGGTTCCAAACCAACTGGGCAATACTCAGACGCCAAGTAATATATACTCTGATTTATTGTTTCTTTCCTTTGTTCCTGACTCTCCCCACCGTGCAGCAAACTGTAAATATGTGGGACATACCAAAGCTATAGTGCATCTTAAGGGATAACATATAGCACATAACTATACCAAAGCCGGAGAAGAAAAATATCTTTAAAAATATTTTTGGTCAAGGTTCAGCTGAGGAAATCTACTGACCCACTTTGAAATTAAAATGCGGCTTTAGCACAGACACACTCAGGGAATTTTCCACTGAGGTTGCACATAGTAGCATATCAAAGCTCTACCAATGACACCCCGAATCACCATCCCTAAGGCAAGAATATGCATGCTGAATTTAGGCAGCTCACTAATTACCCTGAATTTATTTTAACCTTACATCTTTTTAAAAAATTATGATTATAAGAAATCCAACTTTGCAATTAGACTAGAATATCATAATCCTTTCTAGGAGTCATCTGTTTCCTTTTTTTTTTTTTTTGTATTCTTGAGTTAACATTACACATGCAATGATCACAACAGTCATCTTCATTTTCAAAGTGTTATCAACTTAACGTCACAAAGAAATAAGTCAATATTTTCAATATTGTGAGCTGAGATATTTCGACCAATTCAGGATAGATATTGTGCTATAATATAATGTTATTATAGAACAAAGAAATGTGATGACAGATGTGTGTTTTACTCACCCGTGGTTTCCACAATGCCTTCTAGGATGACGACAATCTCGAACTGTTCAGTTTGCATGCTTCGCTGCGATAGGTCATAAAAGGGGCTTTTGGCATCGATCACGTGGCAAATTGTGAGGGGGGAAACAAGAAAAAGTTGATCGGCCCCTGTACTAAAACCTACATCCAGTTCAAGTTGGTCAAGGGGAAGGAACTCACCCTCAGGTGTCTGCCGAGACTAGACAAGCACACAGAAAAAGAGAAGAAATCACCACTTGTACTGAAATTTTCAAGGCAGCCCAACAGTAATTTACACCATTGCCAACATTCAGCACTATCAATCATCTGCAACAAAATCCAAACAAATCATTATGCAGCTATGCTCTAGCAAACGGGCCGAAATCCCACATAGCTTATGGGGAACATACATGCATTATTTATAATATACGACTTACTATAATTATCATTCCCTAACTCATGAGCTTTGGAGAAATGCCTGGTCCAACAATGGCTGTTAGCACAAACTGTGGAACCGAGTGTCCATGTGCTACTGCTTGACATAAATCAATTCAGGGTAACTCATTGCAGGCCAGATTTGTTTTCCTCACAAAGCAAATAAATAGGCACTTCTTAGGGAGTTTGTTAAAGCTGAAAAAGGTTGATCGTAATCTCAGAAAAGATTTACTGTCTCATTACAAAGCAAACCAATAATTTTTCTAGGACTTTTGAAAAGTAACAGATAGATATAAACCTTGATATAAAAGTGAAGATGATATCCTATTATGTTATGCACACAATAGGTCACATAATACAAAGAAAAGGCATATGTTGTTGGCTGATAGCTTTCAAACTCCCAATACCAAACTGCATTAAAGTTGTTTAGCTCTCTATTTATTTCATGAATTTTAAAACATAGTGTAAAAGCTGTGGGCTACATTGACATTTTTTAAACAAAATGCAATTAAAAATCTATATTAGGTAAACTTTCAGTTTCCTAAAACTTTCATAACGTAGTGGCATTCCGTATCAGTATAAATCATAAAAACCTTAAATCGCTTACATGCAAAACTCTGAACGACTACCTAAAAATGACGATGAACAATTAGCAAACCATGAAAGTTAACGTCTTTCCTTTCTATTCGTTCTTATTTTATTTTCCGTATCTGTTCCTTATAAGGATCATATAAAAGCAAATATTTGTTTGATTTAAATGATGATGCTGGTAAAATAAGGGTTAAATAGTTGCATACAGAAAAACCTGCAGCGGGGTGGAAGCTAGCTGCTGGTCAAATGGGGGTTGGAAGAATCCAATATATTTAACAGAATCTGCAAAGCTCATTTACTACACAAAACTGAATCTATAACACTAGTCTGTGCAATGAAGTGATAGTGCAAAGACAAAATCCTTACTTTTGGTAAGGTCAGTGTCCAAGAAATATCTTGGCTTTTTAAGTGGAGTAAATGAGTCTGAAAACACTGAGAAATATGGTTTAGTAAGCTGTCCTCTGTGGCAAAACTAAACCAAGGTAGTAGTAGACCGTTATCGCAGCAATTTTAGACTCCCAACAGCAGAATCAATTAGGCAGGCTATTTTGTAATTAGTGATACTCAGGAATTTTATTTGTGTAGAAAAAAAATCCAATGAAAATGGTGAGAATATTTTTCTTCTATGCCTTATGAGTAGTTGACTAAAGAAGAGTAAGAGAAAAGGGGGGGGTGGTAGAAAGAGGAAATAGAGGAAGGAGAAGGAAGAGGAGAAAGAGAAGGAAGAGAAGAGGAGGAGGAAGAAACACAATGATTAGTGACAAGAAAAAAAAAATACATGGGAAAACCTAATAGTCCAAAAATAAAAACAGTAGCTCTAACAACCAATGTTGTAGAAAACCAGACATTTTGAAGCCAGTAGCAGTTACCTGTATTTCTAACTTATTCCCAAATTGGTAAAATATGAATGAGACCAGCATCCTTCAAACTAGAAAACAGTATAACAAGTATTGATTAATACTACAAAATAAAAGCCAAAAACAAAACAAAAACAAATAAAAACAAAACCCTGTGTCATTTTTCTCTCACCTAGTAAGAAACAGGTGCTATATAAACACAAGGTGGTATTCTGATGTTTATAAGTAATGAACAGAATTTGGGCCATTTCACTAGCTGTTCTAAGGTCTGCTTTTTCTGTACTAAATGAAAATGTCCATAAAAATAATTCCTTAAAAATTCAGTTTCCCATTTATTTAAAAAAAATTCTCCCCCAAAGATGTATTTTTTCTTATATATATATATATATACATATATATATATATATATACACACATCAAAACTAAAATTAATCTTCCTTTTTAATATTTTGGTATTTATACCTGTGCCTCATTCTAAAAGGCTGTAATCTATTAACATTCATATTTTCTGATCATTCAACAAACCGTGAAGAGAAGTGGCCTAGAAACAAGCTATCAGGAGAAAGCCAACCTAGAATAAGAAACGTTTCATTTTTAGCTAGCAGTTAACTCATATATAGGTAATTAAGACTCAAATATATAAAAATCTGTTCCATTCAGACTCCGTGTATCTTCTGGTTTTAAAATCTTTTATATATATATATAAAATTATACCTATGTTCCTCCTTCCCAAAATGCTTTATATTCCATCCAAGTCTTAGCAGAAACAAAGTTGACAACTGTACCTATTATGTGACGCTATGCGGAAAGTAACACTTTCATTACTTTGAAAGATATTTTACATGCTTATGTACTTTTCAGATGAGTAAAATTCCCTGCATATCCATTGAAAATTATTTTCCAGTGGGTGCCATATAATTTATCCTTTCTTTAAATGATTCTGAGACACCGCAGATATCCACAATTTTGTCTTTTGAGTCTTCCTCCTTCGTGTTAGGCCAACAAATATTTCAGCTATCAAAACGCTTACCTCCCTGAGTTTGGTTTGCTTCTCTGACCCTGTAATAGACTGGGAAGCCTAGTCATTACTGTTAAGTAAACAGAATGCTCTTCTTTTAGAGGAGTGAATGGTGTGGTTTGAATGTGGCAGGTGCTTGGAGTACTAGAATTGTCTGAAGTCTGAGCTCCTGGATAGAGCAAAGTTAGCTTATCAGTGCTCAGCCAAATACAATGTTCCAAAAACCTGCATATGTTTACCAAATACACTTTCAGAGGCATGTTAGTTTTAAGTCTCTCAACTTGCGTAAGTAAGAGAACTGTTCAAGAACTGTGATCTATACACGTAAATGAAAAGGAAAGCAGAAAGAAAGGAGTTATATATGTACCTTCATATGATTAAAGTGTGATCTGTACCTTGAGTATGTGATAAATCAATGGCACTAATATTCCATCACTTTCTAGTTTTCCCATTTAGCTATCAATTACCATATTTCACCCAGGAATTTTGATAACAAGCAGAAAAACTACAGGAAAAATCAAGCTAACCTTTCTTTATTATGTCTCCTTAAAAATTATGATATAAAAAGAGATCTTTCATTAACAGAGCAGTTTGCTGATGGTCTACCTGATCTCCTTTAGTTCTATAAACCTCCTAATCCTATAGGAATGCAAAATCATGATCATTTCCAAGATAAAAATGTATAAACAGATATGGTCAATATCAATATAATTCCAAATAATTGTTATAGATTAAGATTAATGCTAGTAAATTACTAAAATTCCTAAAAATCTGATAACTAAGGTTGATTTTATTTGATGAAATAATCATTTAGAATCATAAAATGACTGAGTGAGAAAGAAGCACAAAAACAAAAGAGTTCATGGAAAATTGGTAATTCTTAAAAATTTAGCACACAATTTAAAAACACTAGGACTGGAGAATGACTTCCAGATGACTTTTTTATTTTCAATTGTGTGGAATGTGGGGAAGGAAATAAGGAGGACCTTTCTGGTTGATAGCAGTATAGCAATTTCTGGGAGATAAGAAAACAATTTTAAAAATCTGAGGCTTAAAGTTTATTTAAATTTACTGTATAAAAAATTGTAAGTAGAACATGGATTTTTGAAATGGTTTTGTACTACTTAGAATGTGGCAATAATTTCTAAGTTATTCTTCATTATAAAAATTGCTATGTAAAAGTATTTCTATTATATACATTTTAATTATATGGAAATGTGGATATGTGTAAAAGCTTATGTCTCATCTTATAGTCACATGTACTGATTTCAAAGAAGCAGCTAATATCAAATGACTTTAAACTCCCTTAAAGTCTAAAAGAGGCCTACTGGATAATCAATTACAAATTCTGACTAAAGATGAAAAACGATTCAAAAGTCACAGATGCCTGGAAGGGATTATCAATGTCATGAACTCTATAGACAAATAGCTTTCATATTACAGATGAAAGACTACTGAGTACATGTCCAAATACGTACACACACACACACACACACACACACACACACACACACACACATTTAGAACTGCCCTGGCATATCTTCCCTCTGTGAGATTTGTAACCATTTACCCACATTCATTCAACAGGAACACACTCCACCAATATAATCAATCTCTTTGCAGCCTTTCTCCCATCTCTCTAACCCAAAACACTGTTCTAATTATAACCATTGTTCTCTTTCCTAGCTTGGAGGGAAGCTAGGGGAATGTTGAAAAGAACATTTAATCACTACCATCTGATTCATGAGATGTTCCTCTATCATACTCTAAGGCTTGTCCTGTGTCCCACTACCTCCCACTAGTGTCTACTGGAAAAGGATGCTGAGGGCCACCGGTCAGGAAAGGAAAAGACAGGAAAGGAAACTAAGATGGAGAGGGCAAGCCCTCTTCGCCTCCCACCTCCCACCGTTTTACATTTATCTGTAATTTCATTTCTCCTCTTTAAATGTGCAATGTGTGTGTTTGTGTGTGTGTGTGTGTGTGTGCGTGTGTGTGTTGAATATATACTGAAATCACAAAGAAAATCACAAATGAAATGAAGTTGCAGTGCTATCTGCAAGCTAAAATTAGGAAATAAGCTAAAAGCAGGTACTAGAATAAGAAACAAAAGTACCCTGTGACTTGAAGCAGTTCTGGCAATGGATTTGGGACTCAGACCAAATTTCAATTCAGGTAGAAGAGAGTATGGACCTAGATTTTTATCTAGGCTACCTCTAATTAAATTGTACATTTCTTTTGACTCCTTAAGTTTGAAATTTCATCAATACTCATGTAGAAAAAATATGACCAACATCAAGTCTAAAATAAAAAAAATGTAAT